TGTATTGTTTTTCACAGGGGCTGTACCAATTTACATTCCCACAGTGTATGAGGGTTCCTTTTCCTCTATATCCTTGCCAATATTTGTTACTTCTTGTCTTTTTGATACTAGCCATTCTGAAAGGTATGAGGTGATACCCATTGTGGTTTTAATTTGCATTTTCCTGATGATTAGTGATGTTAAGCATCTTTTTATGTGTCTATGGCCATCTGTATGTCTTCTTTGGAAAAATGTCTATTCAGGTCCTCTGCATATTTTTTAAATAGATTGTTTTCTTAGTGTTGAATTGTTTAAGTTCTTTATATATTTTGTATATTAACCCTTATGAATATATCATTTGCAAATATCTTCTCTCATTCACTAGGTTGCCTTTTTGTTTTGTGTATAGTTTCCTTTGCTGTGCAAAATCTTTTTATTTTGGCATAGTCCCAATGGTTTATTTTTGTTTTTGTTTCACTTCCCTAAGGAGACATATCTAGAAAAACTTTGCTAAGGCAAATGACAAAGAGATTACTGACTATGTTTTCTTCTAGGAGTTTTATGCTTTCATGTCTCAAATTTAGGTCTTTAATCCATTTAAAGTTTATTTTGTGTATGGTATAGTAAAGTGATCCAGTTTCATTCTTTTGCATGTAATGTCCAGTTTTCCCAGCACCCATTTGTTGAAGAGACTGTCTTTTCCCCACTGTATATTCTTACCTTCTTTGTTGTAGGTTAATTGGCCATATATTCGTGGGTTTATTTCTGAGCTTTCTATTCTGTTCCACTGATCCATGTGTCTATTTTTGTGCCAGTCCCACACTGCTTTGATTATTATAACTTTATAGTATATCTTGAAATCTGGGATTGTAATACCTCCAGTTTTGTTCTTCTTTTTCAAGATTGCTTTGGCTACTCATGTCTTTTGTGGCTCCATACAAATTTTTGTATTATTTGTTCTAGTTCTGTGAAAACTGTTATTGGCATTTTGATTGCATTAAATCTGTAGATTGCTTTGAGTAGTATGCACATTTTAACAATTTTAATTCTAATCCATGAGCATGGAATATCTTTCCATTTGTTTGTGTCATCTTCAATTTCTTTCATCAGTGTTTCATAGTGTTCAGGGTATAGATCTTTCACCTCCTTGATTAAGTTTATTCCTAGGGGGGCTCCTGGGTGGCTCAGTCGTTAAGCGTCTGTCTTTGGCTCAGGTCATGATCCCAGCGTCTCGGTTTTTCACAATTGAGTATGATGTTAGCTGTGGGTTTGTCATATATGGACTTTATGTTGAGCTATATGTTCCTTCTAACCCCACTTTGTTGAGAGGTTTTTTTTAAATCATGAATAGATGTTGTATTTTGCCAAATGCATTTTCTGCATCTATTGAGATGATCATATGGTTTTTACCTTAATTTTGTTAATGTGGTATATCATGTTTATTGATTTATGGATATTGAACCATCCTTGTGTCCCAGAATAAATCCCACTTGATCGTGGTAAATGATCCTTTTAATATATTGTTGAATTCAGTTTTCTGATATTTTGTTGAGGATGTGTGCATCTATACTCATCAGGATATTGGCCTGCATGCAAGCTATGTTTTATACTCATCAGGATATTGGCCTGCATGCAAGCTTGAAATAACTCTTCTCTCTCTCTCAAGAAATGAAAACCCTATGAAAGCCATTTCCAATGCCACTGATTTATTCATTTAACAAGATGATTTAATACCTAGGCTGTGTGTGTGTGGCACTCTTCTAGGTACTTGGTCCCAGATATGCATCTTAAGAGATGAGATAGGATTTTAGGATTTTAGCATATGCCTTACAAAGCCAAAACATTATTATTATGTCTGCACAATCTTTTTGTAGCCTATCTACCTGCTCATAGTTTAAAATGATCAGGAGTAACAGTGTGGATGTGACCCTAGGAGAGGCTGTAATTAATATTTACCCTTAATCCCATCTCATACCAGCTTTAGAGACAAATAGTGTCTTGTTTTCAACTCCTCATACAAGTAATGTTGAGCAACCAGAGCCCCTCAAAACTGATTCCTAAACTGCTGCAAAGTTTTTGACCTTCTTAAAAGATCTAGGACCAATCAGAAATAAATTATAATCAGGTGAAAAAGAGGATGAGGATGTTAAAAATCCAGACCTGAAAACTCTATTTAAAAACCTACCGATCAAAAATAAATAAATAAATGAAAATAAAAACATCCCCATTGTCTTTTAAATAAAGAATTCAGAGTCTTGGGATAGAATTTTTTTAATGAAATGTTAAATCTGAAACTAGAGGGCGCCTGGGTGGCTCAGTTGGTTAAGCGACTGCCTTCGGCTCAGGTCATGATCCTGCAGTCCCTGGATCGAGTCCCGCATCGGGCTCCCTGCTCGGCAGGGAGTCTGCTTCGTCCTCTGACCCTATCCCCTCTCATGTGTTCTCTCTCTCTCATTCTCTCTCTCTCAGACAGATAAATAAAATCTTAAAAAAAAATCTGAAACTAGAATTTTATGTAGTTTGGATTATGAAATGAAAATTATATTATTTGGTTTAGCAGGTGCATACTGAATCCTTACTACAAGCTGTATTGGCAAGACATAGTTCTACATTGGAGAAATAAGTCTTATACCCAAATAACTATAATATTAGACAGAAAATATTTGTTCTAATAGAGGGTCTAAAAATGCCATTTAAAACAGATAAAGAAAGCACTTATTCCTGTTAGGAGGGTTATAAAAGATTAAAGGAAATGTCTCATCCAAAGCCAGTGAAGGGGCAGAAATGTCGGGACATAACAAAACCAACCCAAGTGTGTTACAGGCTGCCTTTAGAGACCAGCTAGAAACCCCACCTGACGGGAGTACTGGGGAAAAAGAAATAAATGTAGATGATTTGTAGCAGATCATGGAGACCCCAAAATGTCATTAAAGGAGCAGGGAATTTATTTTGAAGCCAACTAAAAACCATGGAGGGCTTTTGAAACAAGGCATAACAATCAAAACTATCCTAGGGAGATTAATCTGACACCCATGTATAAATAGATTTTAAAATATCAGAGATAGGAAAACCAATACAGACACTATTGTTGCATCAGGTCACGTGAACCTAGACAACTTATAGCAGAATCAAAGTAGATGGCCATTCCACAAACATGAAAAAGGACATAGAATCCAGGGAATGGATGCAAAACACCTTGGTGAGGAATGACTAGAACTTGGGGATGCATGTGAGGCAGTGAAAGAGGGAGTCCCAAGATGTTTTGAAGTTCAATGTCTGTGTGCCAGGGAGGCTGACAAAGTTCTTAAAAAGAGAAAGATAAGGTTTGGAGAAAGAAGAAAAATAATGTTAATATTTATTAAATAATAAATATTTATTGAGCACTTACTATGTGCCAGGCACTGTTCTGGGGGGTTGAGTGTTATCTTTGATTTTTAAAACACTTTATGTAGAAAAGGCACTGTTCCCAGTCTGTGTAACCCCAAAGGCAGAGCTGGAACCAGTAAGTAGGAGTCAGGTAGGAAGTAAAATACCTGATAAGTGGAGACTTCCTGATAAGTAGTAAGAGCTCCGTTCTAGGCAGTATTCAAACATAAATTGGATAATAATCTTCTGGGCACCCTGTGACAAGGGATTTCTGCCTTAAGAGAGAGGTTAGACTAACCCTTCTTCAAGTTCTCTCCCAACCTTAAGTAAGAGTCTATTCTTTCCTATGATTTAGTCCTATGGGTTCTATTATTTTTTCCTTTGGGTTCTATTATTAATCTCTGGTTTCTCTCAATTATTAAATAAATTACCCAATCTGTCTGCCATTCAGTAAAACTCACACATTTGCATCTGTTATTCTTGAATTATTTTTGGTTAGGGCTCTTCTTCTTTATTAAAAATCTCTACCCAGTAATGTTACCTTTATAGCAATTTAGAATGCTAACCCTGGTAGACTGGGTTATAAATATCAGAGGGGAAAAGGAATTCTTGTGCCTAATAATATTTTTGTTTGGAAGAAGCCCTGCAAATGAGAAATGAATTATCTTGACTTCAGTATTGCGATGCAGTTTCTGTATTTTGCAGTAATTCAGAAGAGAAAAAAATATTTCAGAGAGGTTCATTTTGATACAGCATGTTAAAGAGAATAATTATTCTCCAAACCCTGCAAAGCTTTAGATAGGAAACATTTAGCTGTTTTGCGGTTAGAAAAGATGAAAGGAAAGAGAAGAAAAGGAGAGGAGAAAGGAAACCTGTAGTGAGCTCCAGCTATAAGCTATAGTTAAAGCTTTGCATTTCCTGGTGTCTTTTGAAACGTAAAATTCCACAACAAATAGCCCTGTAACGTATAACCAGTATGAAGATTCAATTCAGATTTAAGCACTTCGGTTTGCTTTTGAATCTTGCTATTTTCTGCATTTGTTTTGACTGCTCTCATCATTCAGGATTGACGCTTGGATGGGTGTGTAGGAGGAAGCAGCAGCGGCAGGCTTACAGCTTGCAGACAAAAAAAAATCTGCCTTATCTGATGGCTATTATTGAAAATGCGAGGTGTAGCCTGGGCTGGGTAATGAAGGGGAGCGAGCGAGGGGGAGCAAGGAGCATGGAGCTGCATACTGATGAGTGTAGGAGTACTTGATAAAAAGAATTCTGGCTGCTGGCCGTGCATTGCTCATTGTGGAGTACTCCAACAATCACATAGAACGCAGACCAGCTTAAGCTGACAGCTTGATATGCCTTCTTCTGCTGCCTGGTTTTGGGGGCTGTATGACGTACTGGTCGGTAGTAAAGATTAATATGTAAGAAATGTGGAGCTAGGATCAAGTCATACTCCACAGCCTGCCTGGCAAACTATGTTTTACTTCTGACTTTGCTCTCTCGCTGAGAACATTAATCTGTCAAGCTGGCGGGCTCCTTTGATAGCAACTTTCCCAGGAGCATGATGTGGCAATGCCACCTCTCAGCCCAGGACTACCGCTATTACCCAGTGGACGGCTACTCCCTGCTTAAACGCTTCCCTCTTCATCCTCTTACAGGACCCAGATGCCCCGTCCAAACAGTGGGACAATGGTTGGAAAGCATTGGGCTACCTCAGTACGAGAACCACCTGATGGCTAATGGATTTGACAATGTACAGTTTATGGTAAGACGCTCTCTGTGTCCACGGAGCTGCCTTTTGTCTGTCTTTGCTTCTTATGTGTCTTACACGGCTCAGAGGCAGCCTGATTTGCACCAAAACCGGTCAATTTATATATGTAACTGCATCAGAAAAATCGGATGCCCTTAGGACGGAACTTACTGTGTACATATAGACACTTGCCGAAAAATGAGGTCTATAGGCATCCATATACATATGTGTTATGTGAATGAACCGGTGAGAGTACTATTTATAGGCAGTGAAGGAAGATTAACATTTATGTTCTCCCTGTCATTCTTTGTGATTTTTATAAATTTGTCATCTCAGAATACCCAGTTAGATTATAGCACTCTTCAGTTAATTCTAAATTCCTAAAACATGTTCTTTCATGTGAGCATCAGCATTTAGTGATTAATTAGACAATTTGTTATGTTTACGGTGTGAAGATTATTTTTTCCTGGTAATTGTTCAATAAGCAGTTTAAATTATGTGGACGACCTTTAGTTTGCTAGCCAGCTGTTTCAGATGGTCAGTTATGGAGAACATTCACTTACTTACACATGCTGATAGAAGAGCACTGAAGTGTTATTTATTACTTTAGATAAAAAAAAACAAACACTTCCATCAACTACCTGTCAGTATTTAGAAAGAGAGGCTGATGGACTAAGTACATTCATGTATTCTGAGTACTGGTCTGCATGCAGTCTAGACCCGGTGTGTGCAAACTTCTCACTGTGATGAATATAGGTGAGGAAGGAGGGTGGGGAAATGTGCAGACCCATAATACAGCTTTCTAATCATTCATATACCTCCCCCGGTGCTCATCAGTTTCCCTTGTTAAGCTACGTCACAGTCCTTATTACCTTTCCTTGCTTTTAAGTTCTCATCACACGTATTACTGATCCCTAAATTTAGAGAGAGCTGCATAATATAAGCATGGAGCACACAAATGGCTTGCAGAAATAATTAATAGCTATTTCTAAATAAAATGCTGGGGCAGACACCTGAAGCTTATTAATGCCAGAATTGATAACAAAATATGAGGGCTAGTTAGGTTTTTTAAATTTCTATTTGAGATTATTTTTCTCCAAGCTTAACTTGACTATTATGATTTTTAAAATCAGTAAAATTGTTAAACTTCTGCCTCTTTTCCTAAAAAGTGTATGCTCCGTGAGCTTTTGTAAAAAGCTACATAAATGTAGTAAGACATATGAGCCCTAAGTAACTGTATACATAGAACTCTTTATGGACCTGTTTTTTATAATGGGATATGCAGCTACTGTTATTTATCTCAGGTTGAAGAGAACTGTCACTGATTAGACAGACCAGATATCATGGGTATTGAAATAGGGAAAAAGTGAAATTTCTTCGGTTGCTATGACAGTGTTAGGACACTAAGCAGATTTAGGACAGACTTAGGACACTAAACAGAGAACACTATGAATTCGGGGAACTATCAAACAGAATGAAAGTCTTTTCATAGTTATTTATATTTACTGCACATTTTGATGTCTTTATTCTTTCTCTCTGTCTCTGCCTGAGATAAGACTTTCTCATTCCCACTCCTCAAGCCCTTGTCCAAATTTATTCTGGCCCCATGAGAAGCTAGGTAGGTCTCTGGATTCTCTAGATTATTTGGCTACTTCCAAATATTTTAATTCAGCATAATTTTCCTCTGAATATTGGACACAATTGAGCAAATAGAACCCCTTTTTGAAAGCCCGAAACTGAAAGGTTAATCAAACAGTTTTCAAATAAACTGAGGTCGTAAAGCAACATTCAGGAATGAATTATGTATAAGTACTTCAAAATGTATCTGGGGGGCAAAAATCCTGGGTATATGTGACAAAACCAAGGTCTGACTTTCTCCATAGGCTATCGTCTTTATTTTTGCAATTCTAAGTTGCATATGTAATTTTCCAGAAAATGAGAAAACATAGTTAATTCAGATGAGTCAATCAAATACTTTCTTCATGAGACAGAATTAATTAAAAAAGAAAAAAACTTTGATCATTTAGAGAGGTAATTATGAAAATTGAACAAACCATAAAATAGTATCATCAATTATTGCTTTATATGCTACTACACACTATTTATTTGCTACTAGTATCATGAAAATTAGTTTTTACCTTTATAAAAATTATTTATTGATTTCCATAATCTGATTTATTTAATTATGAATTTAGTTAAAGTATACTAATATGATCAGCCCACTTTAAGAAACAGGTTTCATTAATGGGGTGAAAAATCTTTTAGACCTGCTTAGTCTCCACTCAGTGTCATATTCTAGCTTTTATTTTTCTTTTTTTTAAAGATTTTATTTATTTATTCATGAGAGACAGAGAGAGAGGCAGAGGGAGAAGCAGGCTCCCTGCTGAGCAGAGAGCCCGATGCGGGACTCGATCCCAGGACCCTGGGATCATGACCCAAGCCGAAGGCAGACGCTCAACCGTCTGAGCCACCCAGGCGCCCTCGCTTTTATTTTTCTTGAAGCACATTCTGACCTGCATTTATTCATCCTGTTGCCGAAGCAACAAGCACCACATTCCCATTAACTGTGATGTAGTGCAGGTCATGTATGTAGTGCAGGTCTTGTGATGTAGCTGAAGGTCAGAGTGATGCTTTTTAGAACACGACAGTAGAGACATCAAAAGGATATAATTAATGTTGCTTGAAACTTCATTGTACATCCATGCATAGATATACTTTATTTAGGAAACATTCTCAAGAGTTAACTTTTCATTTAATCGATATTCCATTAATGAATGTTTTAAAGGATCCATATAAGTGACTTTCAAAGTATTTATTGAAAGCTTTAAAAAAATTTTACTAACTCTGTTCTACATACTCTCACACATAAATACAATATATGGATGATTTATTCACAGGGCTTTGATTAACTTTAATAAAGATTTCTTACATCAGTTCCTAGACATAGTTAGAAAAGTAGGACCTCCATTTATTTTTGTGTATCTATCAATTATTGCTTCCCCTTTGGGCTCTTAATGTTTATCCTTGATTTTACTGCTGTGTGAATTTTTTTTCAGTACCTGAAAATCAGAATTCCAAACTTTTTCTTTATGTACCTGGTCCTGGTTTGCTGATATTTGTGCACACGGTTCTGACTTTCCTGTATCCTTAAATATATAAAATAAGTGGAAATTGATAAAATTTAAAGAATAACTACAAAACTACATCAGGTCACCTAAGACCTTGGGAGAGTTTGATCTATGTTGCAAACAAAAGCTCCTTCAACATGGAATCCTTCCTCAGGAGACTTAACCAAGCCCTACTTACCTGTTCATCCCCTCTAAGTCATATATGGTCAGCTCCCTCCTAGTGAAGCATGTGCTACTCACTAGCCTCTGGGAATGCTGCTGGGTTCTAAAATATGTCTATGTTTCAACATTTTTTTTTAAATCAAGGAGTTTAGGTATGAAGTGTTTAGTATACAAAACGTACATGCTTCTTTACTTCTTATTATATATATTTCTATCATCATCTCTTTTTTCCAAGTCTGATGACTGCTTCCTAAATTTTAAGTCTCAAACTATCTATTCTTCTCTTGATGACTGCTCATTTGTAGTCTCCTCTCCCCATCCTGGACAGCTATTTCCTTTCCTTTCCCTCCTTTTTTTTTTTTTTTTCATCCTCAAATGTCTAACTCAATTCCTGCCTTGTTTATGTAGCTTTCCTTAATGACTCTAGTCCCCTGGAGCCTCTCTTTTCTCTGCACTCATATAGTGGTTGTATTTGGTATGAAAAATTACATTTGGCATGCCATTATTCACTCTCTAGAATTAGAAGTTAAGTTTTCGCTCATATATATCTTGTCTCTCCCACTAGACTAGAAACTCTTCAAGTCCACATTCTGTGTATTCAATTCTCTGGTCTTTCTCACAACTCTTAATAATTCCGTGTACATAGACACCACCTCATAACAACTGGATGCACAGCAGACTGTTGTAGATGGATTTCCAGCCTCGTTTTTTAAATTGGGAGCCTTGTGGGGCACCAGGGTGTCTCAGTTGGTTAAGCGACTGCCTTCAGCTCAGGTCATGATCCCAGGGTCCTGGGGTCGAGCCCCACATCAGGCTCCCTGCTCGGCAGGAAGCCTGCTTCTCCCTCTTCCACTCCCCCTGCTTGTGATCCCTCTCTTGCTGTCTCTCTCTCTCTCTCTGTGTCAATTAAATAAATAAACAAAATCTTAAAAAAAAAATAAATCGGAAGCCTTGTTTTGCCAGTGGAACATGGAACATTAGTACCCTTCATTCATTCATGCAGCAGACTCTCCTTAAACATTTCATATGTGCTGGGAATGGTGCTAATTACTGAGAATGTAACAGTGAACAATCCATGATCCTTGACCTCTAACAGGTTACAGTGTTGCTCTCAGACCTATCAGATTATTTGCATGCACATTAGACACTCTTTCCTTCATGTGCTCCCACAAACAGGTACATACATAACATTCTATCACAGGGATCTTGCCCCTCATCCTTTTATATAATCACCATCCCTCAGCATATTCCTTACTAAAAATTGTTTTTTCAGCAGCAAATTACAGTAGGCAATGGAAGAGATAAAATCTATCATAGCAGGGCGTAAAGATAGATAAAGATACTGATACTGTTCACAACAAAACACTGACAGTGTTAATGGTAGATTTATGGTCCAAAAACTGAATTAAGAAGTTTGTATTATTGGAGGAGGACTGACTCATAGCCTCACCAGGATAACTAGCTGACAGTTATATTTGTAAACTCTAATCAAAAAGGGGGAAGAATGAAATTATACCAACTCATTTTTTTTTTTTTTTTTTTTTTTTAGCATTTCCTGTGTTTCTAGCAGTTGCCATCTAGGTTGGCTTAGGATGCTTTGACCATTATTAAGATGTCCAAAATGCAGCCTTTACAGAGTAAAAAATAAAATAATTCCAGGAGCCCTATGTGATTTGGCATTTTTATACACTTGGGTGGGTAGCATTCATAAAGGACTTGCTGAAG